CATTTTTCTCCTCACTGACTTGGTCAATCCATGTGAAATTTGGCACAGTGGTAGAGGGTCATGGGAGGATGCGAATGAAGCACTATTACATCAATTGGCCAAAGTTTTTTTTTGGAAAAACACAGTACACAGTACTTGACTTACGTTTCACCAACTATAAATGTTTAATAATAGAAGTTGTGAGATATTCTGTTTCTGCTCAATACTAATGCTAATTTCTATAAACTTCTGATATTTTTAACATCACAACTCACAAGAAATCTGTAAAGTAGGCTGGACAGAGGTACACATTTCAATTATTCAATGATTAAGCTGTGTATTTTTAATAAAAATAAGGTCACAGAGTGCAAAGAAAAGCATCAAAACAGAGCTTGCTTATGACAACATTTCCCTGGGAGTGTCCTCAAACCCAGGAAATTGTCTTACCTTATTATTTAAAACTTCGACCACTTTTAACATGAACATCTTCTATTGTAACATAATATATGACACTCCAAATACGAAAACGCATAATAGCTCCCCTTTAATGTGTGTGCATAATTATATATATTTTTTACTTGTTTTGTATGTTTTTGTTACTAATTTTTGTGTTTTACTCAGCAAAGACAAAGATCAAGCATAAAAAGCATGACTAATTCAAAATTACACTTACAGTACTTAGTAAATACTCTTAGTTACCTTCTTGTGACCCGGCCTGTCAGCTTATTCACCACCTAATTCAGGGTGATTCCATTCTTCTTCTTTTTTTATTATATCTTTATTAGTAATCCTGTTGACATGAAGTTTTATCTTTATTTTATCTCAGTATAATCATGTTAATCTTTATTCACCTCATTTTCAGTTCTTAACAAAACACTAACCACATCAGTAATTAAAATATATCTAAACTAGTCCATACCCATTGAGTGCACAGTTGCCCACGTACAGTTTCACATGGTGTGTGTTTGGGATACAGGTCATAGGAAATTGCAGATTAAATAGTCAACTGAACCCATTAAGAAGAGCAATGTATTCAGACAGAGTTTTTGTGAATTTGATAGTACGATTGCAGCCACAGCGATCGGTCGCATTTTAGCCATTTTTCTGTTGTTATAGCGCCACCCAGTTGCCAATTAGAGTTACATTTCTCCAGTCACCTTGAAGCGTCCTGTTCTACATATCTACCAAGTTTAGGAAAAATCCATATGGGGGTTAGGCCTAGATAAGAAATTAGCTCTCTAGCGCCCCCATTTTGTTTGATGGGGTCAATAATGGAGGCGTCCCCTCAGATTATGTGTGGTCATATGCCTACAAAGTTGTGTGGTGATCGGTGAAACCCTTGAGATGTTATATAACTTTATGTGATGAGCCACGCCCTCCGCAATATTCATTGCCTTATAGAAGCTCAGTTTTAGTAAGTTTTCCAACTTTTGCCAGGAGGGAACTTTAGATATTGGTCCCTAGATTATGTTCACCGAGTTTCATGCAGATCGGTCAAACGTCCTAGAAAGAGATCGATTTTAAGTACAATTTTGAGGTACTTGTACTTCACCTGATTATTTCTATTTCCCGCTGCTTTATATTTATACTCCACCACATCTCAGAGGTCAATATTTCACTTGTTGCTACATTTATCTGACAGCTTTAGTTACTTTGTAGATTCAGACTATGAAAACAAAATATAAATTAACTAATAAATTATAATATTGTTATCAATTAAACTTCAAATGTTAACTGATAACAAATGTTTAAATTAGCACTTATTTTTTAATTAGCTGGATATTTTATTTGCACTTTGGTAATTAATGTGCAGTGCTCTGACTGCTGAGCTGCAGCCATATGCGCTAAATGTCATATACAGAGATGTAGCAGAGGTGGCATTGCAATGTGAGGAAACATAATGACATAAAGTAAATGAAGCACATGTGTACACTGTAATATTGAGTATATTAGGGGAATACGTTTCGGGCAAATTGTAAAAGTTACCCACACCTTGGTTAATCTTTGCAGCTCTAATGGGGTGTATTATGTATAAGTAGCTGTTTTTATTTTTTATTCATAGCTGGACATTGAAGAGTGCGCGCGCGCGCGCGCGCGCGTGTGTGTGTGCATTGCACTATGTGGTGATGTGTTTATGCATACATCCTGTGCCATGGATCATCTCATGATTTTGACAGAGTTGTAAAGAAAATAAACTGTATTAGTCGTTAAAAAATACTCAAAGACTTTAATAAGCAGCAACCATAAAACCAATTAAAAGCCAAGTCCCAATGCCCAGTCCCTTTTACGTCCCAGTCCCTGTCTCAATTAGACGCCTGGTCTGGTTGCCAAGCAGTACTTTTTTTCTCTACGGGTTCTTCAGATGTTGGCTACCTCAAATTACTGTATGTGTCCATTCCTCAATTACCCTCAGATCAAAAGAATAGAAAGGTTTTTTGATAAAAAAAATGAATCCAAGTTGTGAGTATTGTTTTAACAGGACTGTGTCGGTATGCCAGGTGCTGTAATCCTCAAGTGTCGTAACTCTCTCTCTCTGATGTCTGTCTGTCAGAGCTAGATCGAATGAATGATTCATAATTAATATGTTATCTGAAGCCAAAATTTTATACAAGTAATATTCATACTGATTTAAATAAACAATTTGATTGTATTTTCCGATCTTTGCTGATTAACAGTTTTGTGTGAAAGACATTAAAGGCCTGTCCCAAATATAGCCCTGTTGACTTCAATGATTTAAGCAAATAGTAGCCTGGGCTATTAAATGAAGTTCTACAGTATATACCTAATTGAATTTCAAACACTCCCTAACACTTAAAGCACTGAAAGATTTCATTTTTTTATTAATATCCTTGAGGCTTTTTTTTTGCTTATACAGCATTTAACAATTTGTCCACAAAAGGTTTTTCTTTGACGACACATTGTTGAAACATTTAGCAGACACATAATCATCAGCAGGAAAACACCAATGTATGATGTCATCTGGTGGTGGATAAGTGAAACTACACAATGACGAGTGAAAAAGAGTTTTATTTCAAACAGACAGGCATAATCTGTTATCAACCCATGTCAATAGGAATACAGTTGAAAGGCTCTAATAACCTTTGGTAGGTTTCTCTTTACAGACCCATCACATATTAAGAATCTGATACATTTTCACACCATTAGCAAAACACAATGATGGTTACATCAAAGAAAGCAAAGTGAGCTTTAAGGTATGACTACAGTGAGAAATAGTGATATATAATGTCATCATAATAGTAATCCTAATTATCTTATTTCATATTGACAGATTAAACACAAAGTGCTTCCCAAGAGCCAGTTTTAAAAGATTGAAGATGTGTGTGAAGCATCCACCTTTTAAAATAGCTTCTTTGCATCTCCATATTTGAAACATTGTCTACGGCTACATATACAGTCTACAGAGACATGGATGAAAGCCTGACTTGACTGGTTAGCAGAGACAACTGCAGGGCAGTAAATCTAGTCTGCATTTGTAGCGCCCTCTAGTGCTCGATTTGAATGAGACTTTCAGGGTATGTTTCAGGTACCTGCACTGACATTCCTTAAAGTGTCATAATGATTGGCCTATTTCTGTGCTAAGCCACGCCCACTCAAAGTCTATTGGTTAGTTGTACAAATTGGACCTACAGTTTAGGAGGAGATGTCATAAATAGGTTTAAAAAATATTGAAAATGTAGTCAGGCAGATAGATGTCTGTGCCAAGTTCCATGTAAGTCAGACTTATGGTATAGGGGATTTTTCTTCAAAATTTTTTACCTTAAATTATGGCGCCCCAGTTTGGCTTATTGGGATCATATTTGTTGAGCAAGATTTGCACCAAACTTCCAGTCATGAGAGAAAATTGAATGTGTCTTTCAGCCCTTTGGGCTTGGAACCCTAATAAAAGATGCAAACAATATAAGAGACATTTCGCAAACAAATTAAAAGATGAACAGTAAATAAGTAATGATAAATGCAGTAGATGAGCAAAGATAAAGTAAAATGACCAAGTTGCAACCACAACACCAAAAACAACCTCTAATCAAAAATCACTCAAAGTCAAACTAATATTTGATTTGATTACCACATTAATTCACACAATTAACATCAAAACCAAACACCTTTAAATATGTCATGTCCCTATAATTCAGATTAACTCAATTTAACATGTTGGTAGTAAATCATAATAAACCAGTGAGTATCAGGGAGTGTTTGCCTTCTCTCCATCTGCCAAAACTTATTCTCCCCCTGGGTTTTGCTGTGGTGCTTCTTGGCCTTCCACCTGCATGTAAAAAAAGACAGAGAAATGCATTAGTATTAACATGAGCAGATATGTACTTCATCATCACTGAAGCAGGGCACTGTACTCAGGGGTTGAAGTGGGGTTTGGCCTGGTGGGGAAGCCCCCAAATCCATAGGAGCAGTGTAGTGGAGAAAAATGATTCATCTCAAAATAACTGCCAAACTGATTTGTACTGTCACCTGCGGTGGACTTGTTTTCTTTTTCAACAGGCTTTATGATCCTCTGACCTTCTTTTAAGGCTGCTGTGGCTCTGGGCTGCATTCTACAATATATCAGCAGAGTTTACATGGGCTATCATTCAGTCAGGGCTGCTTTCCAAACCTTAGCCACAGTATCAACATGCAATTTGGCAAGTGACACTAAAGAGCGTCATCAGCTTAAATTCAAATTGATGACTGCTACCCTTGACCCAAGCTAACAGTGAGCATGGATACCAAAGCCTGTCCTGCACCAGGCCACATTAGTCCATTACTGTGAACTTTACCACAATACTGCAAACTACACAGTTACATAGCCTCCGTTGTTCTAACTATCCAGTATTCTCACACAGATGCTGAATAACTCAAAAATGATTATCATTCATTCGTTGTTTTAACATCATTAGTTAACCTGATAACAAAATATTATGTGCATATCCACTGCTTGATAAAAAAAAGATCATGAAAGAATTACATTACTTATGTAAGCTTTAAATTTCCTCCACTTTATCTGAACATTCTTACCTGTGAGGATCTTCTGTCGTCCTCCTCTTCTGTGCTCCCATTGCTCCATCTTTGAGAGAGAAGTTATCACACATTAACATTAATAATGTACTTTCTAACATGAGGACACTTCATGCTTCTCATGATATGATGCTGACAGGGAGTGCAGACAGACCAGGGAAGGAGGGACCTTGTAAGGGGTTTGTGACAGTCATTGCCAGCACGGTTGAACTAGACTATAATTAGTGTCCCCCGGGTGTCTGTGGCAAGTGCTGCTTGCGATGTCCATCAGAAACCCCCTTAGCAGGGCCTAGGGATGGTCGATACTAAACTTTTGAAATTCAATATGTTACAGTTTTAACAATACCAACACAGATACTGATACTGGTCATTTCTGAACGGGTATGTGGGGTTTTTTTTTTTCAAAATAAAAACTGTTTAAAAAAAGAAAAAAAGAAGAAATCACCACACTAAAAGACAAATCACATGACACATACCAGCCATTAATGACAAATTTATCACAAAAGTAAGTATGAGCAAAGTTAAATAAAATCTTTGTGCTAATAAGTGTAAGAAATAGTCGAGTGCGTGACCTATCACTTCAGGAAAATTCACCATTTTGTAGCTAGCTAAATGCTGACATCTGCACACATGAAAAGGATGAGCGTTAAGTGTGGGGGCGGGACCGTGGGGTGACATCACTGTCTGATTTGTTGAGTGTCTCGATGGCATCAGCTAGCAGGAACGCCAGGCTGAAGTGCACGAAAAATTATCTCGCTTTATATCATTATGTATGAAACTGCCAATAAGAAGTATTAACTTATTAATCCAAGCTGCTGAAACATGGATTGTTCCGGATTGTTCTTGCCCACCTCAGGCCCCACTGTACTGTACTGTACTGTAGTGTACTGTACTGTACTGTACTGTACTGCAGACTGTACTGCGGACTGCACTGGAGCTCAGGTTGAAAGTTAAATTTTTTGCCCACCTGCCTCTGTGGCTGGTGGATTCCAAACTCTACCAGCCGCTCAATAGACTACCATTGTTGTTTTGACTGGTGAGTGAAGCAAATCTAGCAGCCACTTGCATATTTTACCATAATTTGTTTCGCTAAACGATGAGCCATTCATTTTTGAAGCAAAAATGCCAAACATTTCTCAGGTCCAGCTTCTGTTGAAAAAATTTTGGACTGTTGGAAAAATCGAGCTATATGAAAATGTCAGCTTGGGCTTAAGGAAGCTGTTACATCATAGACCAAACTATTTTAGTCAATTAGTCAATGTGAAAAAAATCATTAGCAGCAGCCCTACACGGCACTTACTCCAGATCCAAGATCAGAGAGCAACTGAACTGCATTCAGATCTTGGAGCTCTGACAAGATGTAACATAAATATTTGCACCTTCCCTGCTCATGTGTCCATCCTAATACACCTAATGTAGTACAGACTACAGTATCACTGCCATTTAGTAGAACCTCAAGCCTGAGGGCCCCACACAGTACTTTTCTATATTTAACAGCCTAGATCCTAATATTACCTGTGGTACTGGGGCATTTGATTTGGCGCCACTTGGCAAACTGTTCCTTGGCAACCTTCAGACTAGTTTCATCTGTCTTCTTACAGTAAACCCTGATCAGTGTCTCAGAAAAGCATGCTGGGAGAAGCTTGGAAACCTGAAAAAAATGACAGCAGCATAAATTTGAAAAAATTGACATAACAGAAGCTGCCTTATGAGGAAATACACACAAATGCATGCAACAAATGACTAAGATTAAAATTGCTGCTGCCATTGTTTTAGTTCTGACCTGCTCTTTGAAAATCTTGGTTGCTTTGGAAGGGTCGTCCTTCCCATAGAAACCCATCTGACTGATTGGGTCCTCGTTTTCCATCCCATTATCCATAGAAATGAACTAAAAGAGAAGGGAAAGACAGAGGCCTGATTTAATATTCACAAGTAAATGATGTCACAACAGAGTTAGACAACATCTTTCAAATTACATGATAATCATCAAAACCCAGGAATGAAAGAAAAGTGAAATAAAAATAATTAGACCAAAAACTCACTAAAACTTCAAAGTCCTCTGCTTTCAGCCCGCCCCCCTGAAGGGCTTCAGCCACTTCTTTTTTCCTAGCGGCCTCCGTCAGCTTAGGGAGGGAGGAGAAAAGAAGAGAAGTGGTAGGAGCAAGAGATTTGAAATATATTCTTTCACAATGACACACAATAGGAGCACATCCACATTAGAAAGTTAAATTTAAAATGCACATATTTGTTTTGTGGTTTTGGCTCTGTCCACCCTAAAACAGCCAGCGTTTTTCTCACCCCAAAACCACGGATTCTTTTCCATAAACTTTAGTCAGTGTGTATAAATCTAAATATAAATATTTCACTGTGGAAAAAGGAGCTTCACATAATGATGATGTAATAAGACACAATAACACAAAAAGAATTCTCGAAGCACCTGCAAAGGTGAGATGCACCTCTAATTGTGCTGCCAAGCAAAACATGTCTGGCTGATCCTGTGCTATTTGTATGAATCTCAATTAGGTAATATGCATACATTTGATGCAAAAACAAAATTGACCCTGTTTTATGGAAACGAGCCTCATTTCAAGTCCAATTCACAAAGATCAGAGCTAATAGCCACACACAGTCACAAATTTTGAAATTGCTCTTGCTAGCATCTTCAGAGAGTCAGTGGTGACTTAAGCGCACTAACTGACTGAGATATTAAATCCCAAATACAGTTTCTCTCTGTCACATTTCAGTTTCTTGCCTTAAGTTATGAGGAATGCTTCTGCATCTTTCTTTTTCTCTCCGCTGTTATTCTGCCTACTGTGCTATAGACAACATTTATACACTGCCACATGGATAACTCCAATCAGATGCCAAAAAAAGGTAAATTGCACTCAGCTGTAAAACTGTATGATGTGCTTGTGCTGTGATATTATTAGCGCAATATCGTCTGTGAATTGGACCTTGAGATGGAGCAGATAGCAGTTGCAGTGTTATCATGGCTACAATTAAATAGATTATGTCAAACAGAAGTGTAATGAAACACTGGCACACAAAAATATTGCTGCACACCTTGGTTTGGTTTGGATCTAGGTCCTGGATTTCACCTAGAAACCTGTAGTGTTTTCGAGAGATGATCTTGTGTAGAATCCAACATGCTTCAACCAGCCGGGGGTAGGACGAGTTGAGTATTTCTTCAACCACAGTTTCTGAACAAACAGCAGGGTTCATACAGACATTACAAAATGAAATCCAAGGGTTTGCAAGTATATTTTCAAGGACTGTTATTTTCATGTTCATGGACGTTAATCAAAGCAACTAATTTTCCAATATGATCTTTATTAACGTTAAATAAATGATGTGAGCATTGTTTAACGTCCCCATTTACCAGCTTGCAGTCCTCTTCCCTGCCTTTTTAGTGCACTATTGCCAACTGAAACTTGTCATTTTCAGACTTTGATCTTTGTACAATCAAACCTACAAGATATTGCTTGTTTATCAGTGTGATTAAGAGGTGCAGGTGGGAGGATTTTGTTACCATCTGGTTCGTTCTCCAGAGCCAGTTCCTCTCTCCAACGATCAAACTGCTCCAGAGAAAGGGAGGACAAAGGGTGAGAAGTGGGAGGGACAAAAGATTTGAGATTTATCTGATTTTGCCAACAGTAAAAACGCATCTTTGTTTCTTGGTTTCAGCTCTCTGTCCACACTACACAATTTTTCTGACTGCAAAAACAAGCTTTTCCTTAACATATAAACATTAAAACACCAGATACATATGTAAATGACAGCAGCTGTATTGACTGTATTAAAATAGGTTGTCACAGGAGGCAGGAGGTAACTGAAAGCAGGTTCAATGGGCTGGCACTCTGCAGAGTAACCAGCTGTGTCTGTAGCCCAGTCAGAGGCAGGGGCTGTATGGAAGTTCACAGGACAACTTTATCATCTTGATTTCATCAGACAATGTTTCAACCATAAAATAATGACTTGTCAGGCCTGGTTTCTGTCCCACACCTTACCAGATGTTGCCTGTGATGTGCAGTTAAGTTGTTTGCTAACTAAAAAGAGGATGAAGCCATTTAGCTGTTTGTTTTGTTACAGTTTCACTGTGGGCAGAGGTCTCTATGAAAACAAATAGCAAATGTGTGGACACAAGTCATTTTCACACAGAAATACTGTGTTTTTAAAAATGCTGGCTTGGTATGTATGTAGTCTAAGTGGCATTTGGTCCCATGATTTTGCTTACACTGTTATCAAATCCTCTAAATTCTATTTCTAGAAATTATGACTGGTAGGAATTTGTTGTAGTTCATGTGAAATCCAAGCGCAACACCCAGAGAGGCAATATAAAATGAAAGAGGCACCAGAAACAAGCAATCTGCACTTATCAACCACAAAAGCGGCACAACATTCAGCTTTGTTACAACAAAATCTGCTCTCATAATATTAAGTGTCCTCATAGCTTCAGTGAAAAAGATAATGCGTCTAACAGAAATGTGACGGTACAGACACACAAAGACACTGATGCATACCTGGGTGGGTTTCTCAGAATTCTCTTCCCTCAGAAGATTGGGGAGGATTTTAGAGATAATCTTGTGTAGTTCCCGCCTCGATTTAGCCAGCTTCTCAGAGGAAGAGTTGAGCATTTTTTCAATCACAACCTCTTCAGCTGAGTAAAAATAAACCAAAGACAAGGTCAATATCATTCATAGTGTTTCACAAATAAACAAATGACATCATAAACTGAGAGGCATAATTTAACAATATAAACATGTGATAAAATTAATTCTGCTTCATTTGTTTGTTGTTAACAATGAAAAACAAAAAGATTAATCTTTAGCAAATTGCTACTGTTCTCAACTGACCATTTGCTAAACCCCATAGTCCATTTATAGCTGAGCAACGGTAACTAGGCTCAACAAGTTTAGGATTTCTCCATGTGCTGAAGCAATGTGCATAGGGCTATAGGGAGAGCATTACTCTGCATTTATAGTTTGGAGGGTTGTGTCTTCCTTTAGCCTTTAACCAATAACACAAGTGTAAAAGTGTAAGGAAGAGATTAAACAGAGCGTTTAATGTACCTGCAATTATTAGCATGTCCTGCTAACTAGCTGGCTACTACCTTATGAGAGACGTGGTCATGACTCTTGTGTGTGTAAATCTTTAAATATTGAGGTCCCTGAAGTTCCCAAGAACAAGAAGAGTGATTGTCAAGTGTCAGGTATTTGTGCCCCTCCTTGTGTGTATCAGTCTCAGTGTTAAATTTTTAAATTGTCAAGCTGTGAAGCACAATGGATGAGGCCAAAGACAGCCATCCTGTCATGTTACAAATCAGATTACTTCTCTGAACAAGCAATGATTTTTAAATAACAGGAATGGATTTGAATCTCATAATTTTATGTGGGTATTTTTCATGTTAAAATGTTACCAATGAATAGTTTTTGCTGGGTATAGCATTGTTCTCAACTACATAGTCCCAGGTGCCCTGTGGAGTTTCATTGTAAACAAACAAAAGTTCTGTTTACATTCAGTGTTATCAAAAACTCACTGTGTGTATCCATGTGCTCTCACAAATGTGCCAAATCCACCTTTTCTTAAAAGTTTAAACCTGCATTGTTTACGTCCCTGTTTACCAGCTTGCAGTCCTCTACTTCCCTGCCTTTGTAAGTGCATCATTGCTGCCACCCATAAAACTGAAACTTGTCATTTTTAGACTTTGATTTCTGTACAAATCAAACCTACAAGACATTGCATGTTTATCAGTGTGATTTAGAGGTGCAGGTGGGAGGATTTTGTTACCACCTGCATCGTTCTCCAGAGCCAATTCCTTTCTCCAACGATCAATCTGCTCCTAAGGACGGGAGGAAAAAGGGTGAGAAGTGGGAGGGACAAAAGATTTGAGATTTATTTGATCTTGACAACAGACAACATCTTTGTTTCTTGGTTTCAGCTCTCTGTCCACACTACTACACAATTTTTCTGACTGCAAAAACAAGCTTTTCCTTCATGTATAACATTAAAACACCAGATACATATGTAGATGACAGCAGCTGTATTGGCTGTATTAAAATAGGTTGTCACAGGAGGCAGGAGGTAACTGAAAGCAGGTTCAATGGGCTGGCACTCTGCAGAGTAACCAACTGTGTCTGTAGCCCAGTCAGAGGCAGGGGCTGTATGGAAGTTCACAGGACAACTTTATCATCTTGATTTCATCAGACAATGTTTCTACTGTAAAATAATGACTTGTCAGGCCTGGTTTCTGTCCCACACCTTACCAGATGTTGCCTGTAATGTGCAGTTTGGTTGTTTGCCAACTAAAAAGAGAATGAAGCCATTTACCTGGCTTAGTGTATATGTAGGGTAGTCTATGTGACGTTTGATGTTATGATTTTGGAATCCAGGCACAACTCCCATAGAGGCAATGTTAAATTTAAAAAACAACAGAAACAAGCAATGCGCACTTAACCACATAATAAGCATTACATCCAGCAGCTTTCTATGACCTGACGCTGAAGCTGTGGGGCACATGGTGGTCTTTCTCTCATCAGATGCTAACACTACTGGAGTATATCCCTCATCTGTAATAAATCAGTCCTGTTAATCACTGCCATTTTAATCAGGTAGGTCTGTTTCATCCTTGTCAACCTCACTGGTGCCTTCCTGACTGTCTCTGACGTATATAACAAAGAAAAAACTATGAACCAGAGAAAAATGTGCTGAACTGTCCCAGGAGCATCTTTGCACAGCCTGCACCTGGGGTCCTATCTGGTGTGGCTGTCAGCGGTACATGCCATCAAGGGGCTTGTCCTTTCATGATGGTTCATCTTTGGGCTTCTGCTGCCTGAGAAATTCACTTAGCAGTTCATCTTTGGGGGTCATCTTCCTGATGTATTCCTGGATCTTGGTTTTTTCGTCCTGGACAGTGGCTCCGACGCTCATGAGTCCTCAGCCTCCCTCGTTCTACTTAGTGTACAGTCTCAGGTTGCTGGACTTGTGATGAAACCCTCCATATATTGTGAGAGGCTTCATTGTCTTGATATCAGTGGCCTCTATCTCCTCCTTTGGCCAGCTTATTATATCAGCGGGGAATCTGATGACAGGCAGGGCGTACGTGTTGATCAGAAACATGCTCACCAGTAGCCTGCTGGAGGTCATTTTGTAGGGTTCAGACAGTGCTCCTCCTGTTCCTCCTCGCACAAAGGAGCAGATACTGGTCCTGCAGCTGGGTTAATGCACTTCTACAGCCCTGTCCAGCTCTCCTCGTGTAACGGCCAGTCTCCTGAGACACTGCACGCAGCTGCACGCATGTGCCATCCTGGAGGAGCTGGACTACCTGTGCAATCTGATTGGGCTGCAGGTACCACCTCATGCTACCAGTTCACTAGCAGAACACAAAACTAGAGAGGAATCAGCCAGGAAGGATAAGGAGAGAGCAACTGTCACACCTGTTGCCACTTTCATGTGCACCAAAGCAGGTGACACTGATTCACAATCACTTGTACTTCCTAAATGGACATATTTGTGTGGTGTTTCTCAAAGTCACACGTTTTGAAGACCCCCTTAATTTTGAATGGTGTTGGACATCTAGTTGTCTCATAGCTGAAGCCACTCACATCCTCTAGGCAAATCATATGCCCGCTTGTCTTCAGCTCCGTCATTGGCTGCCATAAAACTTCGTCCCAATGGCTTTGCCCCCACAGTGGAAGTCCCTGTTGTCCAAGATATTTTATGGATCGAAAAAGCAGCTTCAGAACTCTCCTGGCAATTTTCTGGTCTTTCTCAGCCTTTCCGCACTATTGATTAGCTCTGTTCTCTACTACATTCATAATAAGCTCCAGAATCTGCAAACCTCTCCAAGTTTAGCTGACCCCTGGATGACTCTGACCCTTGCACATTGACCTGACATGATGAAGTTGTCACATCAGATAAGAGGAATTAATTAAATTGCCACATTTTAAACAGATTTTTTCCCAAATATTTTCTGACCTTATCATATCCTGTTTAAATTTTCAGTGTCAGTGTTCAAACAGCCAATTCATTATGGTAAAATAGCCAGTGATTTACGGACTGTATTGTTCCACCTCCTGTCAATAGGGGGTGCTGCAGCACCCTCTGCACTCATGGGCCCGTTTGGTTTGGTTGTTTGAGCTGGACAGAGCAATTAGAATTCAATCGGACCTCAGTGTGGACAGTGGAGACACATGTTAATATCAAATGTAAATCAGTTTAATCAGGTTAAATCATATCTAGATACTATCTGGACATGAGATGCATCTAATGCAAGGTGTAAAGGGGGTCAAAATCTGCTCTTTACAGTCAGTTTTTGGTGTTCTCATAGCTACAGTGAAATAGATAACATGTCAAACAGAAATGTGATTCTATATCGGCACATAAAGACAAAAGTGCACACCTTAGTGGGCTCGCTGGGTTCCTGAGATTTTGCCGCTCTCACAATTTCTGAGAGGTTTTCAGAGATGGTCTTGGTGAGAATCTGCCTAGCCTCAGCCATCGTTGGGGAGTAAGAGTTGAGTATTTGTTCAAACACACGATCTACAGGAAAAACAGAGTGGAAGACAGGTGAGTAAGAGCAAACCAAAAAAAAAAAAAAGGAAAGATCACAAGATCATTTATGTTTGGCACCACCCCCCAAAGCTTGAAATATTCACTGTTGATTACTACTGAATCTCTACAGCCCAAACAATGCTATTCAGAACAGCCTTACTTCTCTGCTCTGCTCTTTATTGGATTTGATGACATTTACATGATTTTTACAGCCAAACATGTTACACTAGAGAATGTTAGTCAGTTTATTAAACACACCTGTTAGTCATTAACCTAATAGCTTGTTTCTGGAGATATTAATAGTAAAAACATAGTGTTTGAAAATAGAAACAAATCTCAAATCTAATCTCTGTCTTGCTTATTCAATATGTCTAGGCATCCACACAGGGTTATGTTATGATCTTGCATTTTTCCTGTAGTGCCGCAGGCATCACACACAAATACTATCATATAACATGTACCTCATTGAAATGACAGAAAGTTATGAAGATTTAAAGAAAAAAAAAAGACAGCTTACCACACAATCCCAATACTGTAACTAAACTGCTCATGGCCAAGAATATAAAATGCTTTCTATTGTTCTATTGAAGTAGGTCCACTGCAGGGTTGCCAATTTGCACGCTTAAGGCGTGTGACACACACTTTCACCCTCACTCTCATGCTCTCATTCTGCCCAAACAATTCTCACGCCTCTTGAACAGCAATGCGTTGGTTCAGGCATCGACTGGCCAGGGTCTTAAGCCCCAAGATGGCAGTGTTGTAATTTTGTAACTTCAATGAACAGAACAGAGGCAAGACAAGACAATCAGAGACAGTTTACAGTAAAATATGTGTAAATACCGGTGTCTCATTACAGGTCTGTCAACTGTTACGTCCAGAAGGACACTGTGTGATTTTGGGCTGTTGTGGCGATTTCTTTGGTCGTGGCTCTAAAACGATGGTCCTACATCGCACAGTGAGAGAGCTTTAAGGATGGCCGTTGACACAGTCTTGCGATCATTGTTATTAGTAACTTGCTGTCCTTGTTGGATAATGTCAGTTAATTCATCCAGGCAACAACTATCAGCCAGTAACAACTGGGTCA